GTTAAATACACTAAATATAACATAATTAAAAATTATATTGATAACTTTAAAACTATATCGATAACTTTAAACTATCATTTTCATTTTTTTTTTTAACTGAATATCTACCTGAAAGTTTATGCCAATAAAAAGCACCAACAACTATATCTAATAATGCGTTAACACATTTACTAATATTTTGATCAACTTTCGAACCAAAATGAGTTAATCTATTGGAGATATCTTGAATTTGTGTCATTCGTTTATTGATTAAATCCACTGTATAAGTAATAGCCCCTTACAAAGAACATTGGTGCAAACGGCGCAAAACTATGATAACATTATCAATTTCACCTTCTGTTAATTCTTTTTTGAGCGAGTAAAGATCATTAGTAAAGCAAATACAGTATGATCATTACAGTAATCCATAAGATTTTGCAAGTCCTGATTATCATACAAAACTTGAATTCCGAGCAAGGGCTCGATTAAATTAAAACTAGTCATTACTGCTTCTGAATTTCTTCTGATCTTGATATATGCATCCACAGAATTAGGAATATTATTTGTATGTTCATTTTGTGCATTTACCAAGCATGCATCAAAATAAAGTGATATAGTATTACGAAATTTTAATTGCCATGCTTCTGTGGTTATTTTTTTCATTCTAGCCCATACATCCCATAGCGAAATAGCTATTGTGCTTTGTAAAAATTCTGGTTGTGGTTTATCATCTAAAATATTTTGAATTTATCGAGTATTATTTTTATTTCTTCAGGTTTTCCTTTTAAATCTTTATTATTATCAATTAAATCATCAACAAAAAATAACCAATTAAAAAAAATCGATAGCAAGGCAGCGCCTTTCAAAGGGTGTTGTTGGAAATATGTAACAAATAAGTAGTCCGAATTTGCTTCCTTTAAATTCCTTATTCGTAGTCTTTTTCGCAATTAATCCAAAATCCTTCGCCCATTCATAACAATGTTTCTCGGTTTTTAATATTTCTTCCTTCGAAACATATTCATGGATACATAGAGGTACATCACACTTTAATAAGTCCAAAATTTTATGTGGTTTAATAAGTATATCTATATCATCAATTTGTTGTATTCT